AATGACCTTGAGCAGCCCTGGTGTATGGGCACATTGGTTTCGTGGTGGCAACAGGGAAGGAAAGAACAACATGCGTTCCAGGTCAAACCCTCCGCTTCCCCAAACAACCAAACCTGTCTAACCTACAGTGTACAAACAACCCTGCTAAATTGGCCCTATCAGCATTTTTAATTGGTTTGGCTGCTGTGCTGTGCAGTGACTAATGCTGGGAACGTGGTCCAGGCCTGACCTGTGCCAGGCGGAGTCCCCAGGGACATGCACGGGCTGGGCCTGGGCTGGAATTAGGGCATCGGGGTGGTCAGCAGGGCTCGCTCCTCTGCTTGCGCATCTTCCCTGGGGAAGTAGGAAAGCTTAAGGCACGTAGAGATGTTCTGGGGAAAAACATGATATTCATAAACAGTGAATTGTATTAGACAGATAGGGTTTTGGTTTGGATTATGGCGGGGGGGTGGGGTGGGGTGGTGTGTGTACTTGCTTGCTTGGCCGCTCCATGGGTCTTTTTCATTTTGCTTGCTCAGAATCCTTCTGGAAGAACAAAATCTGTGTCTCACGGCTTTCACCCTCCCAGAACAACAGCTACTGTGAATTTTCTTTTTGTGGGAACCCAGGACTGGAGCAGTCACGTATACCTAGCCTGGATTTCCCTGCTGGAAACATGTAATAAACATTTAACCCATTGCACCTCTATGATGGCCCGTATTTAAGGACATATAAGGGTTTTCCTAAAGCTTTAGAAAAATTTACTGTTTGCTTGTGGAAGAGTTTAGGGATCATCCTATGTGACCAGGTCTTTTCATGCTAATGCCAATATATTCTATTCAGACAACACGATACCTTGGGCAAGGATTTTAGCTTTCTGCTTCAAGCACTCACAACTAAGTAATTGATACAAGTACTACAAGTAGCAGAAAACTGTAACTGTATGTCACGATAAACTCCTGAGCAGGATATATTGCAGTGTGACAAATCCAGGCAGAACCTTAGAAGAGCCATGGGCATATGGAAGCAGCAGTTTTAATAATAGTAATGACATTGTTAACAGCAAATACAATCTGCATTTGTGGGATACAAACCAGTTCCTGAAGGTAAAAGAGTGATTTGCAGGAGGCAGGAGGAGAGAATTAAGCATCCAAGCACAGAAGACAATCAGGTTAAGACTGGAAAGCCAAACTGCTCTCAGTGCCTGAGATAAAACTATGAGACATTGCTTCAGTTTGTTCCTGGCTGATTCCCAGCAGCCAGCACTGTCAGAAGATACATGGTCAAAATAAGTCTGGTAATTTTCTCTTTGGGCACACTGTCCCCTTCTTGCTGCTGTGGCTCAAGGGAAGCGCTCCCGCTGCTGTACGGCACAGCGTGTGTCTCCGCTCGGCCTCTTTGGGCTTTCTGCTGGGAAAGCTTCTCCGGGATAAACAATGATGTCGAAATGCCTTACATGCATCCCGGCTTAGGAGCCACACTTACAGCAGTTACTGTTATTAGAGTCCTATTGAGCAAGGGCAGCTGATGCCTGGCGGGAAGCGGTGGCCTGAGCTGCCGCCTCGCTGCACCAACCGCACAGCACCAGGACCTAAGCGTGCAGGTGGGGACACAGGGCTCAAAATGTAGGCGCACGGGGGCGAGGAAAGCAGCGCTGTGCGGAGGCAGATGGAGTCCTCATCTGGGATCACCCGGCACATGAGGCTTCTGCTTTGGGAAGCCAGACCTGGTAAAAGCGCAGGGACCGGGCGGTCCAGCTGCTGAGATCAGCAGGCCACTACATCTCACCTGTTAGGAAAATCATTGAGACCTACACTGCAATATAAAATGCTTTAAGGCATTGTCGCTATAATTACTAGCGAGTCCCAGCTTACCTGTGGGTGTGGATGCCTGGAAAACCAAACCCCGCTCATTCTCCAATTAACATTTGCAATAACGCAATAAATGCTTATCATAATGACAGGCTTCCATCTCATGAGCTGCTTTTTCAAGCCCTCCCCCTCCCATCCCTCTGGCAAATGGCAAAAGAGACATTTTAACCTCTTTGTACAGTGGCAGATGTAACCCCTCTGAAACAATTGCAGGAACTACCTCTGCTATAGCTTAGCGAAAATAATTTTGCAAATGTGACCTTAGAAAAGTCGTGCTTTCTAACCACCCAAATTACAGCCCACCCAGATCTGATGATCGTTTCTGTATTATTTTTTTATTGGTGAAAATGATTTACAGTGGCATAGCATAAAGTGCACTGATACATTGGAAGGGGCAGAAAGACAAGCTTATGCTCACTAATTTAATCCCATGGCATTTTGCATTTCTAATGTGTGAATCACTTTTGAAAGGTTGAATGTCTTCCCTGTAAGGATCTGGCAAACCCTGAGAAGTTCATTTTAGTGGGAAATAACCACTCTCTCATTTGCTTTCTTCCTGGGAGTGACATTCAGGTGGCTGCCGAGGGATTTTTTTTTTTTTTTGTTGGACTGTAGAGTGAGGTTACTGCTTACAGTCAGTAACTGTGACTTTGCAGAGTGCCATTCAGAGCACTACCAAAAAAAAAAAATATTCTGTTAGGCTGAAGCTGCCCTAGCTGCACAGCCGATTCAATGGGTCCTTTACGTCAGCACCTTGAGGCAAAAATAGAGCATGAAAACATCATGAGAGGAGACAAAGCATTAAGTGCAATTACCTTCCATCTGTGGAGACTGGGATCGGGTTGCAGTTATTCTTAGGCTGATCTCATCTAAGACCACAGTAATGCGATTTGGCGTGACTGACAGTCCCTGGGAGCGAGGTACGCGCCCGGCAGCATCTGATTCCTCTCATTTGTCAGTAGCAAGCTCAAACAGTGTAGAGCCCAGAGCCTTTCACGGGCCTGCAGCTCTGGCTACCTGGATTGTCACAGCTCAATTTCTGAAAACAGCGACAACTATTTTCTGCAAATTGCTTCCGTGGTGATTAGATGATCATTCCCTTCTCTCAGTGCATATTTTTGACCTGCCGTCTAGTTTCCAACCCAACGAAATGTTGTGAAAGGAATGAGACCATTTTATCCAGGAAAAATCCCTGCAGGCCACGTTCTTACTTCACAGTAAAAAAAATTTTTAAAGACTTCTGTCGCCCGCCCTCCATCCCCGCCTCCCCCGCTCCTCCCCCCCCCCAGTTTTTGTTCTCCACCAAACTATCAGGCTCGGTAACTTCTTTAACTGGGGTCAGTGGCCTAGTGTGGGGCCTCAGCTTCACACTCTGGTCTCTCAGTCTTTGCCGCTGAGCAGGAACTAGGAATAAAGTCTCACTGCTGGGAGGGCGAGTTTGGAACACGAGCGTCTCCTCGCACAAGCACACAGTTGTGCAGGCATGTGTGGGTGCAGTTGTGCGCTTGTCTGTCCATCAAGAAGGTTCTGTCTAGTCCCCTGTAGGAAAAGATTCAGTCCAGCGTATCAGTCCACGCCAATTCAGCAATTTCACAGCATTGCTGCCCAAGTTTTCATTCTGATTTGTTCCAATTCTCTGCTCCGGATGCCACGATCAGTACGAGTAAGCACTGTGAATAAAGCAAACTGCGCAATGGGCTATGCCAGGAGCGTAACCCCCTTCAGCCAGGAGTGATGGGGACATACATGTAATAGGGTGAACAGTTTGGGGATGCCCCGTTCAAGGGGGCAGCAGAGAGGCTGAGGTGGGCTTGATGGAGGGCTACCAAGACGATTGGGGGTTTGAGGGCACACTGCCTACAAAGGGAGGCTGGTAGAGCTGCACTTGCTTAGCCTGGCAAAAGTCAAGGCGGTACAACAGCACCTTCAGCTGCTGAAGTGCAGGTACAAAGCCGGTGGGTCCGTGCTCTTCTTGGTAATGTTACATGGTGTAGCAGGGGACAACAGGCACAAGTCCTGGCTTGGAAGGTGCATACGAAATTTCAAGAAAAAATTCCCTCAGAGTAGAGCAGCACTAAACAGGTCACCCAGACAGACTGTGGAATTGCCATCCTCGGCGGGTTTTTAAGGCTTGTCTAGACAAAACCATACCTCATCTGACCTAGTGTTGGCGATTATTTGGCTTTGAGTAAGACACTGAATTACAGACTCCAGAGGTCCCATCCCACCAACACTTCTGTGTTTAGCCCAAGGAGCGGTATCTTTTCAAAGTAAGCATTGTACTCCTTGCTAAAACGAACGGGCTCCTACCGATGTGGTCACCTGTCTTTATGACGCTGCTGCCACATCATGCTGGGACTTTGCTGCCTGCTCTGTGGAGATAAAAATTTGGTAATTTGTGTGCGTTTGACACCCTGCTCAGCTGTAGGAATTTAAGCAGGGTGAAAAAGGCCAATGATGTAATAAGAAAAAGATGAGACTTCATACAAATAATGTACTTTTAGACATGTTTTTTTCCTTTACCCACATTTTACCAGAAGACTATCTTACATAATTCCTACTCAACCCAGCTTCCCAATGGGCTGGTTAATCAACCTAGGTTTTGGTCTTTCTGAGAGCAGTGACATGGGGACTAGACCTCCTCCCTGCTATCCTGCTTTTCCTCTCCTTTTTCACTGGAAGACTGATTGTTCATGTGTTATTGTAGTTTCAGATTCCATTAAAAATTAGTAACTCTGCAGGACTTTTTTTCCTGGCAACCTCATCCAGAAAGAATTGGCAAATAGTTAGGGATTTGTTGGTTAATGTGTTGTAAAAATGACAGATTGTGGTGACTACAGAACACTGCAGGACTTACATAAGAAATGTTCCCTTTGAGACTTCTCTTTCAGTGGTGTACAGACCGCCCAACCCTCTGAAATCTTCTCTGTTGATATCTGCAAAGCTACTTGCGGGTGGCTCCTGTTCACTCACAGCTTGCACCTTGAGCTCTGCTCGGTGCTCCCCATTTCTGTCTCGCAGAGTCACCTTGCTTGAGCTGTCTGGCTTAAAGGTCCTTCTGCTCTTCCATTAGGTAACCTGGAGTGATATCACTTAGGTGGTATGATGAATAACAGTCTTATACACAAAAGTATATCAGATGCAGTCCTGTTTAATTATATTTAATGGCTTTACTAGATTTAATACATAATCAAAATAAGTTCCAAGGGTAGTGATTAACTTAAAAGATATTGATACATTTCCAGAGGGCTGGATTAAGATATAGTGGTGAAGGGGCTGGTATTTGTTGAGGCAAATGTCATTTTTCTCTTCCTGCTTCTAGTAGAGATGGAAGCAGTTTTGTTTTACTACTGCTTTGTTCTCGGCTCAGGGTGGTGGTGGAAGCTCGTGTCACTGCAGTCCCATCCTCCATAAAATCTCTGGAAAATTCCTCAGAGTCCCGCTCTGGTTTGATTTTGAAGGAAGGTGTTCTCCTATCAACAACATGCATCACCAGAAAATCAGGTACAGTCTAGAGGAGTTTAAGTAACTGTGTATACGTAAGAACTTGTTAGGCATCTAGCTCAGCAGCAAAAATCCACCAGGCAGAGGGACTAGGATTTCACGTTGCCGTCTGTAGGATCTTTCAGACTGCAAGTGCAACAGAAATTGATTTACACTACAGGCCAAATTTCCTAATTTGGCTGTGGCTGTGTTTTACACGTGCCTGTGTTTGGATTCTCAAAACAGCCTTTGAGGAAAGTGTTTGAACAGTGCAACTTTAGACAACTGGTTTGGCTCCTTAAATTAGGAGGCTGGGTTCCTTTCAGACCCTGCTGGAGAGAATGTTCAGAGGAAAACCCTATTCCTATTGTAGACTCCTGCTCCGATCCCCTCACTTGTTGGAACAAGTCTCTCTCTGTTGAGTGTACAGGCAACCCAGCCTTCAGGTCAGATACTTTATTTCAATAACTTTGGTGCCTACAACAGGTAATACAAGAATTCCTCTGGGTGTCCCCATTTTAAGTCATCAATCACAGACAAGATACACATGCCTGACTATAGTGAGGCCCATTTTTAAAAACTGGCTGTAGCACATTATGAATTACACAAATCAATTGAAGCGGGGTCATACTCAAGAATAATGTATTTTACTGGATTAGTGACAGAGCAGCAGGACTTTTTGACATGAGGGCAATCTCCCTTCGTAGGTGGCTTCACTGTCAGCGGTGATGACAGTTCAGCCTTGCGGCACAGAGCCCCTACCTCAGGAGTGAGCTTTTGCTGGTTGGTCTTTCAGCAGAGTCTCTGTCTGGGATGTCCCACAGTCTTGCCTGGGAGGTCTCTCTGTTTGGACCAAAAGGCTGCAGCATCACTGTGGAATGCGATCTGTTACTGTGTCCTGCAGAGTCAAAGAACACAAATGAAAGCCGTCTGAAGTAGTGTTAGAGGCAAGAGTTTGCCATTTCTAGGCCCATAATAATTTTCTCCGAACATCATTGTTAAAATTGTGCTCTGGCTTCCTTTCCAGTAAGCTACCACCTAGTGAGGTGTCCAGAAAGAGATCTAGATCCAGAAGAAAAGCTATTGACCGAGACCCAAAGCAACTCCTTAATAAAAGGATGAATACAGCCCTTGGGCAAGGCCCTTTCCTGGGGACAACCTGATGTACCACTGAAAGGCAGCTTTGCAAGCCACCCTGGGCACTCTCCTGCCAGGTCATTACATCGCAAGGTGGCAGGGGACATGTGTACTGCTGTCCAACAGAGGCAACGGGACAGCTCAGAATGCCCCAGACTAAGGACACTTTCTCATTCTCTTATCTTTCTCTCACCATCACTTGCTAAAACCACCGTTAGCTCTTGAAGGAAGTGAGAACATACCTATATTATTCTGTAGTGATTGCAGCCAGTCCTCCATCAGTGACTGAGAAGGTGCTGCGAAGAAATATTCTGCCCCATCTTTCAGCCTGTAAATAAGGATAGGAGAAGGTGAATTCTAGTTAGCCTTGCCTTATACCTGCTGTCCTTACTAGTGGGGCAAGCACTGTAAGGCATTTCAGTTATGCCTCCTAACAACATACAGTCTTAGGTGACTGTAGGCAAATACAACCAAGCAGGTAGCTGTGCAGGTTTTTATTAGTGTACTTCTCCACAAGACTTACCGCAACATGAAGGTGTTCTCTTTCCTTGTGTAATTTACCAGCCTCTCACATTTGGCGCCAGGAATGCTGAGGGACAGGAGCATGGGTACGTTCTGAAAGAGGGTGAAATTACAACAAAATGTCTTCTGCGTCTTTTCTGCTAGGATTCAATTCCATACCAGCCTGCAGGCTGACTACACACCCATACTACCTTTTTCTGCTTTATAACCACAGAGGAACCATGGACTATTGCATTATACTGTGAAGGCAATTCTTGTATAAGATACTTCTTTTAAAGGACATGTTTGAAAAATTCTGAAATCTTATTATTCTGTCTTATAGTTGGATTCAGTTGCATAATTGTTGAATTTTCACTCAGCTGACATTTGAAAGAGACAACTGATTACCCCAGCCCCAAAGCAAAGTAAATATAACTCTGTTTTCTCTTAAATGCATTTTTAGATAGGTAAACACAGAGATTACTAGAAAGATTCAAAATCCAAATTACCTTAGATGCTTCTTTTTCATCATTGTAGAAATCAAGCTTTAATCCATCAAGTCTTACATAGAAGGACTTCCAGGACCTTGAGCCTGGCTACATGAATGGAAATGGTAATAAAATCCAATTATTAGCTATATATTTTATTGGAGCAGTGAAATCTTTCATGTGCAACTTCCACAGTAAGGCAGGAGCTGCCCAGGTGCCCAGATTATGATCACAGAAGCTCTCTTAGTCATGATTATCTTCTAGAAAAACAGAACCTGCTGTAGTTTCTGTTGTGGGTGATTCACAAAGGGTCTTTTTGTGAGTCATGACTGAACAAATAGTATAACATGGTGCAAGCAAGCTCTACACCGTGTTGTGGCCAGCAAGATCTTTGAGAGAAGGTAGGTAATCGAAGTTATGTCTATTTTTGACCACTAAAAGCTCCACTTTTTTCCCAGCTGGAATGCTGGCCCTTGCCTGCTGGTCACAGTCTAGTTTTGTTACGTGTGTGGTTTCAATCTAATGTGGCTGCTGCATTCTTCTTCATTTCCTAAACTAACCCCAGTGGAATGCTACTAACACTGTGCAAAAGCAGCTGCTATTTCCTACCACAACTATGTACCAGTGAAAGGTTAGCCTAGTGCCACGAGACCCTTCTGGATGAAGGATCCTATTACTCGTGCATATTCTCATTTTGTTATGCCAATGAGCCAAGCTGACAATTTGGTCATTCAGAGAAAAGGCAGGAAAAAGTCCTGAAGAAGATAAGTCACCGTTTTTATTGTTTGGCAAGGTGGAAGTTCAGTATCACAGCAGACTAAATTCAGTGTACCCAGAAGAAAGGAAAAACTAAATTTCTCTTCCAGAAGATGGAGTCCATACCAGATTCAATTTTTTAGAGGTCTTTCAAGTTAAATGTTTCAGAGGAAGTATTCTATGGGACAAACAATCCAAGACAGCTTGTTTAGACGCGACACCTCAGCAAACACCCAGATGTTTACAGACTGGTTGTGAATATTAGAAAATTTCCTGCCTTGTTACGATGATTAGCCTACTGTCCTGAAGTGATATCCTCTCCCAGGATGAGAATTTAGATTTCAGTTTCATTCAGCCCTGAATTAAACAAACCATTTCTTCAAAGATAAATGGAAACTTTAATTCTCTTCTAGCACAGTTAGAAATTATAAGCATTGGAAGCATGGGAATAAGGGCTTCCTCTTCCAACAAACCATCACATGCTGATACAAGCTTGTATTTTAATTTTTTTTCCAGTTCAGTGGATATATTGAACCCTGTATTTATAATTAGGGGAACATAATTAACATGTTCATACAGCCTAGGCTCCGGTTCAAAAGTCCATTAAAAGTAGACAGACTCTGTTTTGCCTGATTCCCATGACAGGCAAAAATTCCATTGTCTCTTTCTCTTAAGGACTTGATCAGGTACTGCCAAAGTCAGTGGACGCTTCTTCATGTGTTTTAGTGGTAACTGAATTAAACCCACAGTCCTGAGCTCCTCTTCAGCAAGAGTTTATCCTGAAGAAGTCAGACAAGATCTGGACTGTAACTCAAGGAAAGATGAATTAACCCAGAGTGATAGCATTTGTTTCTTACCTGTTGTCTTCCTGGAAGGACCTGGTCTCTCTTTTCCAGGAATCCCTCCATGTGCTGGAGACTTGCAGAAACCTGAGACACACAAGAACATTGCTGTGTAACTTTAAAATGGCCCTTAAACTTATGTTGTGATTTCTGAAGGTCTTTCTAAATAAATTCCACAATGAGAAACTGATCTCTATTGCCTCTAGCCTTTACATTCAACAGCACAGCTTGAAATCCTCTCTAGGTTGCAGTCACATCTCTGATATGCTATCTAAATGAAGAAAATTCAGGTCCTTGTAGAACAATTTGCTCATGGAATTTGCTCTATCATGGTGTATTAATTAATTAATATTATTTTTCTATTATTAGAAACAATTTACAACATACCAGCCCTGCAATAATAGAGTGACAACAATGTACAGTGTTGTACTGGCACACTTGGGTATGTGACAAACGCATTCCTCTCAAAGTGTAAGAGGGGAAGGGAACAACTTTTATCTGTCTATGAGTTAACAGTGCATTTCCTGCCAGGAGTTCCTGGTTCTAGTCTTGGACCAGTAGCTCTTTGACAAGGGTGCCACTCAGTCCTGCCTCTCCCTGACTCCTAAACTCAGTGGACACTAAGCACCATGACCTCACATGGAGGGTATGGGTAAATCAGCAGTCTTATCTCTCTGAGACAGCATCTCCTGGCTCTTGTTAAGTGCTCTGCTGAGTATTCAGCAACATGAATAACCTAGTTTGGAAAAGAAAACAGAAACCAATACAGTTCTCAAGACCTAGGCTATAAAGCTGAGCAAATAAAAAAAATGCTTTTTAAACTACACCTGGCTGCTTAAGTCAAGAATATTTCTGGAAAATGTACCAAGGCACATAAAATGCCTCTTGCTGTTCAGATCCACATGTGTGTATCCACTGAAATGCCCACTGTACAGTGCTCTTTGTGACTTTCATACAGAACTTCCTGTATTTCCTTACTTTAGCTAACACAGGATAGCAGTTTTGTGAGGAGAGAGCCAGGAATCCCTGGGACTTACCACAGATGTATTCTCTAATCTCTCCCAAGGGGAGTTAGACAGCGGTACGTTTGGTGATTTATTTAGTGACCTTTGGCCAGGCTCCGGTGGAGTTGCCATTAGTTTTGTCTGCAGGTTGGAGAAAGAGTAGCCTCCAGCACTTTTTTCCTGAGGTGATAAAAGGCTTATTGCTGACAAACTGCTGCTGCGTTGCTGGCTTATGGGAGTAGGAGATAAAGGAGAGCTTAAAGAACTGTGACTTTCTGAAGATGTAGCTCGCGGACCCACCATCTTTGGTGTAGGTGGAGTGGTCTCACTGAGCCTCCTGTCAGCTTTCATTTCTCTTTTGTTGTTGCTCAGCACTTCTGGGGCTCCCCCAGCAATGAATTGTTGGAATGTCGATGGAGACTTTTCCACGGGGGATAAAATAGTTTCAAGTGGGACCCTCCAGGACAGGCTGGGTAAAGGCACAGATGGCAGTGGTGCTGTGCTCTTTGTCACTTTTGGCGGTGTATTCCTTTTGTAAGATGTTTTTCTTCTCAGAGAGGGAACCCGTACAACTTTGCCTTTATCCTTCTGCTCGCTCTCTTCTGTATCCACTTGTTTCATGAGATTGGTCTCCCTCTGTAGGACACAAGTATTACATTTTTAAAAATTACCTTCATTGCACTCATGGGTACTTACCTAAGATTATTTTTTTGTTTTAAGCAGGAATAGTTTTTCAAATATACTCTCTCTTGGCATTGAACTTTAAGGCCTGTACCTCCACTGGCATTCTTAGAGTTAGAACTGAACTTAATTGCTGTGTGCTGAGCATTATTTTGTTGCCCAAACCATGAATACTGATGGCAGTTAATTTCAAGTACAGTGAATCCTGCCCTTGCTAAATTCTCTTGAGGCTGGGTCTCTAATAAGCTGTAGAGAAACTATGCTTCTCTTCTGTGGCACTGCTTCTTTAAGTTTGCTGTAGGAACAGTGAGTATCCAGGGGTGTTCTCATGGAAAACCTTAGAATGAAGGACCTTTGTCCCTTCATTTAGCCAACTTGCAAGTCACTGAACAAAAGGCAGACTCAGCTAAGCTGATTTGTAGCCTTATGCCAAACACAAAAGCTATGTTTTGTTGGTTATTTCAGGAAAGTCATTTAAAAAATCCCATTGAAACAGGATCCGGGAGGCTGACTGAATATTTTTGGTACCTAATACAACCTGATGCCAGAAGGAAAAAGGCCTATCTCTGCCTTGGTCTCCCTTTATTTTCAGCCCCTTGCTATCTGCCAGCACTGTCAGGTGGGCTGCAGTTCCCAACTGAAATCCTGAATGAATCAAAATCTCTCCATCCATGTAGCCAGGGATCACCCTGTTTCTCACACAGCAATGTGCACTACACACGCTTTTTGCTGCTCCTGGCAGAAGAAAGCTTCCCCTTCTCCCCTAGACCTTTTGCAGGCTAGTTGGACTCTTGATCCACATGCAGGTCTTGTTGTCAGCTGCTCTATCTGCAGTATCTCAGCTTTGGTCACTCATTTGCTCCATCTCAGCACAGAAACTCATTCTTAACGGAGCGACTGAGCTCCAAACATTCAAGGACCCGCATTACACTGTCTCATACACAGCTCATCAACCTTCTACCTCACCTTTTT